TGATGTATATTGCCTTCCCCCCGCCCCCCCGCCCAGCTCTTATGGACCTCCTGGTATTTTGAAAGACTTTATCTCAGTGTATGAGTTAGGTAAACATTAATTCCTTCCTCCTATAAAAAAAAAAGTAAGGTATAATTTACATACAGGAACATTTATTTTTTTTAGTGTATCATATAATCGCACACCTACAACAATATCAAGATATGAAACAGTTACATCACCCTAAAAACTTACCTGTGCCTCTTTGGAGATAGCCTTCCCCTCTATCTCCAGTCCCTGGCAACAACTGGTGTTTTCTGTCCTAGTTGCGTCTTTTCCAGATTGTCCTATAAATGATTCAAACAGGCCTTTGAGTCTGGTCTTCTTATATTTAGCATAATGCATTTGGGATTCACGCATGTTGTTGTGTGTATCAGTCTGTCCCCTTTTATTACTAAGTAATACTTATTTCATGGTATTGATGGACCAAGTTTGTTTAGCCACACACCAGTTAAGGACATTTAGATTGTTCCCATAATTTCTGGCAATTATGAATAAAACAGCTATGAATACTTCTATACAGACTTTATATGAATGTAAGTTTCATTCCACTTGGGTACATATCTAGGAGTGGAGTTGCTGAGTCGTATGCTAAGTATATATTTAAATACATAAGAAACTGCCAAAATATTTTCCCAAGTGGCTGTACCATTTTGCACACACACACACACACACACACACACAGATACACGACAAACATGTTCATAACAAAATAAGGAGGAATACTCATGAGAGTAACTGATCACATGCTCATAGTTGGTATTTGTTACTACCTACTTACACTACCAATTCTGGATTTCCTTTGCCTTCAGCAAGCGCCTCAGCTGGTCATGGTTCTGATAACACAGAGAATAAAAGAGAGTAAGCATTGTTAAGAGGGATATTTAAAATGGAGGATGTTGAGAGGCGCCTGGGTGGCTCAATCAGTTGAGTGTTGATCTCTTGGTTTCAGCTCAGGTCATGATCTCAGGGTGGTGGAATCAAGCCCCACGTGGGTCTCTGCGCTTGGCGGGGAGTCTGCTTGGGGTTGTCTCTCTCCCTCGGCCCCTTCCCCCAAAATAAATAAATAAATCTTAAAAAAAAATAAAGTGGAGGATGTATGTCTTCTGTTTCAAATTCTCAGAATTGTTGAGAACTCAGCTAAAATTCAGTTTACAGGGGCACCTGGGTGGCTCAGCTGGTTAAGCGTCTGCCTTTGGCTCAGGTCATGATCCCAGGGTCCTGGGATCGAGCCCCGCATCGGGGCTCAGCGGAAAGCCTGCTTGTCTCTCTCCCCCTCTGCTGCTCCCTCTTACTTATATGCTCACTCTTGCACTCTCTCTGTCAAATAAGTAAGTAAATAAATAAATAACATCTTTAAAAAAAAAAATTCAGCTTACAGATGAGGAATCTAGAAAAGTTGAGCAACCTGACCGTGATTCCGCCGTCTGAAGTTTAGGACTCCTTCTAACCCAGGCAGGCTTTCAGGACTATAGGAGCATTAGCCTGGTGGCCTAGTGCAAGTCACGCAACCTCTCAGAATTGCAATTTGTGATGTCACTGGGTGATAGTAAGACCTGCCTCGCAGGGGAGTCATGAAGATTAGATATAAAACATGCTTAGTACAGAATCCACACTGCAGCAATTTTTTCATAGTGTCCGCTTCCTGTTGTTGCCATTTACTATGCACAATCTCTTTCTCTTCCCAATGCCTCGATGAGATGAACAATGAAAAGGAGGACTCAGTAAGGACAGCAGGAGGCCGTGGGGGTATGGCCCCGGTAAAGGACCTTGAGAACACTTATCAGTTTGGTCCAGATGTGTCTGGCCAATGGAAGAAAGACTACGAGCCATGCCATGAAACTAGACAGGGCGTATTTATGGACTGGACAATGGACAGCCTCATTTGACCCATACAGGGCATTATTCCTGGCCCCCTTCAAGATTCTTAGGAGAAAACTGAGCCTACTCCTACAGTAACATCATACCCATCACAAGGACCTGCTACAGAGTGCCAATGGCAGCATTAGTCCACACATCTCATCTCGTTCCCACTGCAACCCCGGGAAGGAAGGATTATTTTGCCTATTTCATAGAGGAGGATATAAACCTAAGCCCACTTGACTCATAAGCCCACTCATAAGACTGCTGGGGAAAAAAGGGGGAGAAATCAATTCAATAGGCTGTAAGCAAAAGAGGAAATATTATTATGAAAGCAGTGTTTCACAGGTTTCCTGAGTACAGAACCAGAACTGGAAACTAGAAAGCTGTGCATGTGTGTGCATGTCCCCACCTCCCACTCCACCACACCCTCCATCTTTTACCTCAGTCTTCTCTCTGTCTCTGTGGAGCACCTTCCGACACTTCCTCAGCCCTGTGTAGAATGAGCCACTCCATACTTCTAAGGTTATATGCTACTGGTCGATCCTCTCATGATTCCTTTTCAACTTACCAGGAGAAGAATCTTTTAATTTCCCCCCACCTTTTTTTTTTTTTTTTTTAAATCCAGGTGGGGGTGTGAAATCTGAGGGAGGCCACAGAAATTCCTGAGTCCAGCCTACTCCTATGGGTAAGTCTTATGTATCCTCAAAATGTGCTCACCCATCTCCATTTGGACCCCTCCAGAGCGGCCGGCTTCATTGTGGGAGACCTGGCTGTTAAAATACCCACCTGTGTGTACTGTTCCTGCCTCTATTACTTCTCCTCCAAGGAGCCTACCGAGGCTGAGGGGGCAGGCCTGGGAGGCAGGCTCAGCCCCAAGGTTTCCCAGTTCCTCCACCTGCCCCAGGCCCTGGCCCATGAGCTCTGGTCCTCAATGTTCCTCTGAAATGGGTGCCTAACCACACCAGGAGAGACTGCCACCCTCCATGTCCAATCTCTCGGCAAGATTTCCCTGCTGTTTTTTTTCAGCCCAGCACATGGCAGCTGGTGCTCAAGGGGACATGTTATTCCAGAGGAAGACCTGCCGTGGGTAGCTCAGGGGCCAGAGGCAATGATGAGAACAGAAGTGGCAGTGGAGATCCCTCTGCTCTTGAGGATGCACAGGGAGGTAGCGACCCACAGGACGGCCCAACCAAGAGGGGAAGTGCAGACCCCAGTCCCACCCCCACCTCCCCACCCCAGCCCAGCTCAGGCACAGGCCCTGTCTACACCTTTCTGAGGATGTGGCCAGTGCCGAGGGTGGAGAGGGGACTCTTTGACGTGGCTGAGGAGAATGAGGGCCCTGGGAGGGAGGGGCTCATCAGTGGGGGTGGGGGGGACCCCTGAGAAGACTGTGTCTCAAGATGAGGGGGGAAACTACAGGCCTTTCTCTTTCCCAACTTGGGGATGCTCAGTGTTGCTGCCTGGGCCTTTTCCCACTCCACCCTCACCCCGTCTCCACCTGCAATCCTCTGCATGGGCTGTGGCTAGCAGTAGGGGGAAGCGTGAACTCTGAGAGAGGATGGACCCTGCAGATGTCAAGGGCACCGTGGGGCAGGTCAGGACAGAGTTGGAGATCCCCCTGTACCCAGAGCTTAGTCTCAGATGCCAGAACCAGCTGGCTCCCAGGAAAAGAATCCGACTGGTCCAGCTTGAGCCAGGTGACTTCCGAAGTTCGTACGCCAGTAGAAGACCATGAGGAGCATGGCAAGCAGGAACCCCCTCTGGGAATTGCTGAGCACAGAGAAGGGGGACTGATGCTCAGGATGGATACCAACTAGAAGAGGTATCTTCCACAGCTGTACTACTTTCCTGGCAGAGGTTCAAGCATTTATTCATTTCAGAGAATTCAAACCAAGCATGGCCTGTATTAACATAAGCACCAATTGAGGAATGCGTAATGAAGATGTTAGGTGCCCAAAGACATTGATTTAGGTAGGAAAACTAGTAAACCTGGCATGTGGAGTAACCAATTGGAGTTCATCAAGCCAGCTGCCTGGTGGAGACTCTAAATATTTTTTGGTTTCTACAGCAGGGCTGTCTGATAGGCCAAAAAACAAACAAACAAACAAAGCAAGCCACCCATGTAATTTTAAACATTCTAGCAGCCACATATTTTAAAAAGTGGAGAAAAAGAGGGTAAAATTCATGTGAGTGATATATTTTATTTAACCCAACATCCAAAATATGACCATTTCAACCCGTAATCAATAATATTGCTAATGAGCTGTTTTACATTTTTTGTTCTAAGTATTCAAAATCGGATACATATTTCATATGTAGAGCACATGTCGGATGTGACATTTTCACTGGAAATACCTGATCTGTATTTAGATTTCCTAACATGCACACCGAACAACTAGGGCCGTAATCACACATTCTAGTTTTTATGCTACTTCTCATTCGTTATGTGGGATGGAACTAATTCTCATCCGTGTTCCCAGTTCTTGCTCACCAAGTTGGTCTATTGCCCAGATTGTTCTTCCTATAGAGAGGTGACCATTGGTAAAAATGACCAGGCTGGGATTGTGAGCCTCTACCCCACGAAGGAAAACCATAGCTGGAACCTGGGAGCTACATTTGTTCACCTCTTTGCTTGGTTTATGTGACAACAAATCATTTTTGTCGCAGATTAACTATACTGAGTATGTAGGAGATTTCTGAGATTTTGTTGTTACTTTTTTCTTTTCATTGAAACAATCAAGTTTCCTTAGGGATAGCGCTTTCATTGCCCCCTGAAATTCTATAATGGCACATAGCGGGCCAGGGGATGCTCACAGGGCAAATGACTGGTGACCACATACAAGCAGCGAATGCTCGGTCCTTTCTGGCAGTTCCTGTGGATAACGCATATCAGCAGGGAGACAACAGCTCAGGTAGACAACACCCGGCAAGGTTTCAAACCAAATGGCAGGTCCTGAGCTACCGGTAGAAGGTGTCTGGGTAATGGTCATAAGTAAAATCACGTAAGGACAGCACAGGTCTCACAACTCCTACTCTGGTCCAGGGACCGTCCCCCACAGCAGACATGCGTGCTAGAGCTGCCGAGGATGCTCTCCCTCTCATGCTCTTCTCTCCTTCGGATGGCCCGGACTGGTGGGGCCTCGGATTGTCTTATTCTTTTTCTTATTAGTGTTTTGATTTGAGGAAGGGAGAGACAGCTCCAGCTCCCTCTTCTTGGCATCCCAGTCTTCGTCCTGCTGGTCCAGAGGCAGCCCCTTCTGCCTGGCAGTGCGCCGGTGGTCCCGGCACTCGGGCTCAGCCCTGGAGAAGGGGAACACAGCGGTCATCAGCCCCCCGCTGGCGGGGAGAGCCTGTCCCGGCTGCAGCATGGGCCCCTCTTCCCAACCTCTGCACACAGCCTGGCCACACCAGCAGTCCAGGGGAGAAGGAAGAAGGTCGAGTTCGAGCATCTCCCAGGGCACATTTAGGGATGCCTCAGACACTAAAGAAATGACTGGGAGATGGAGAAAAATGGCAAGCCCCTGAGTGGGAAGTTCTAGAGCTACCAGCATCTTAGTAGGTGGCAGTTTTCCTTCATTTCTTTTCCAATTGTATTTTTTTCCTAAATATAAGACCGTGTCTGTCCGTCGTGTAAGATTTTAAAGTATGGAAACATATACAAAAGAAATAAAAAATACTCATAATCACATATGTATGGTATGTATAGATGGCTTTATGAAATAGCTAGGTGACATATAGACAGATGACAGATACAGAACAATAGAATAGATAATAGAGAAATAGGTGAATAAACCATCATATACACATGGACAAGGGGAAGTATACGGAAGTATCGTCTGAAGTAAAGTGCAAAACATTACAAAAAGCACGTTTCAATCAGAAGACAGCAAACCCGTTTGCCCCTCAGTCCGCATCCCCCCAACAAGCTAGAAGTGACTGCTCCATACTCAGACCACATGGTACCCCTCCTCTGCCCTGTTCTTTTGACCTTTGCTACCTTCTAGCTTGTATTAGTGTTACTGATGTAAGCAAGTATCTCCTCTCCCAGGGAACTTAAGGTCCGGCACTGTCTCTGAGTCATCTTTAAAGCCCTTTGAGCATCTAGTTCAAAGCCATGGGCATGGTAGGGCTCAAAAGTATTTGTGAATGAGAGATTTACTCAGAAAATTGTCAAATACTGCCTAGGCTTCTTCTGAAATTCTCTGATATCCTTTCTCTTCATTATCCTAGCCCAGGAGCCCACCTGCTTGCAACAGGGGCCGTTAAGAAATCCCTCAGTGATCTTCATCCCAATATCCCCGAGCGTCCTCACACATACACACAACCTGTGCACATTTCCAACTTGATGCCTTCACTCCAAATCAAGAGTCTTTCTCCCTCCTTCATTAGTCAGATCTTAGCTGTCTTTCAAGGTCCAGATTAATTTCCCCTTAATCAGGATTTCTTCTCTCTGAACCGTCTTAACTGTCAAAAGGGAAGTTCCTCATGGAAGATGACGATAACTAGAAATGACTTGCACTTGATGTGGCTGACCTTTGTTGTTTTTGTCAGCTCAGCTCTGCTTGCCCACTTTTCCTGGTAATGACACCCCCCACTCTTTGGAGAACCTCTCCTCCTCCATTTCAGTTATGCTGAGATCGTGTATCACACTCATGCACCCACTAGTCACTGAGGAGGGGCTGAGATTTTTGCAGAGAGAGTCAGCAGAGGATAGCCAAGGACAGGATCCCAAGGAATTTCAGCCTCTAAAAGTCATGCAAGAATAGGAGCTCAAGAAAATCATGAGAAGAAATGATCAGATAGGTAAGGAGAAATAGGAGGGAATAGCACCAGAGAAGAGAAAAAGTTATCCAAAGAGACACGCCAAAGGAGAAGAGTAATCAGATATCACATTAAGTGGAGTTAAGATGTGAGTTGAGAAAAGGCCAATGATTTCACAAAAAGGACCTCCCTGGACGAGCACTGATTCAGTACAAAATGGAAAAGAAGTGCAAAGGTGGATGAGGAAGACACCCACATAGATTAACATTAAATTACCTAGATTAACATTTAAGTAGCATAGAAATGCAAGAAGAGCTCGAGCCCCGTGTAGCGCTCCATGCTCAGCGTGGAGTCTCCTTAAGTTTCTTTCCCTCTCCCTCTGCCCCTCCCCCTCCTCTCTCAAATAAAGAAATAAATCTTTAAAAAAAGAAAGAAAGAAATGCAGGAAGAAGAAAGAAACAGCAGACAGTAAAAGGACCTCTAAATGTTTGTGTGTTTGTTCAGTAAGATCTATTTGAACATGTTCAAAGGCCAGAGAGGACTGAGGGGGGAAGGAATAGAAAAAAGCTAAAAATACAGGAGAATAAAAGATGCAGCAAAGAACACAGGAATGATGACATTGTGGGAGATATAAAGGTTTGGGTCAGGTCTATATGGAGGGACAACATGTAGGAGGAGGTTTAAACATGTAAGCCCTTGGCTTCGATATTCTCTATGCAGTAGAAAGCCTACTTTCTGAGGGACAGGCTGAGGTATGATGGGGATGTGAGCTGTCAATGAAGGAGCAGGACAGGGAGACAGATTGCCAAACTGTTCCAAGAGCTCAGCTGAAGACAGAAATCCCAGAACTTCTGGTGGTGCCCATGAACTTATTTGTGGGCTTTTCTCTCCCAGACCAAGCACAGGAGTGAAGATGGAGACTGATACAAGGGTGGGAATTCTGGGTCACATGGTATAGGAGGACAAAAGGTTGGAGATTTAAGAATCATGCAAACAGAGAGGAAGAAGTGGTGTATCATGATGTCCAGATGGCAGACAGATGGAAGATCATGAAACCTTCAGGCCGATGATCGATCAGGAGAGAAAGAAGTTGAACGAGAAGAGGTCTTGATGCACGCAAATTCCTGTGTGAGGAACTGGCAAAATGAAGAAAGGGAGCTATGGTCACAGAGTGATATGTTAGAGCTTTTAAAAGTTCAGAGAACAATGTTGCAGATGCTGAGGTCCACGATGGATAGAGGTCACTGAATGTAGGAGATGACGTAGGAATGGGGAGAAGAGTCTTCGAGTCAGGACTCAAGGTTCTGCTTTTACCCCCCAAGTCAATTTGATTATGATTTTGAACATTTTTTTAAAGATTTTATTTATTTATTTGACAGAGAGAGAGAGCACAAGCAGGGGGAGCGGCAAGCAGAAGGAGAGAGAGAAGAAGGCTCCCCCCTGAGCAGAGAGCCCAATGCGGGGCTTGATCCCAGGACCCCGGGATCACCACCCGAGCTGAAGGCAGATGCTTACCCGACTCAGCTACCCAGGCACCCCTGATTTTGAATACCAGTGTTAAGAGAAAGTCTCTTGGGTTACTTCTACAGATACCTAATCTCATCATAAGCAACTCTAGTTTAACTTCTGGAAGATAACTTCATTTGCAAGTTCTTAGAAGGGCATTATACAGTCATTCCCCCTTCCCACTGTGAACTGCCCTATAGATAGATTCTCTATGGATCTCATTTTGGTTTTCAAGCAACGCTGCCCTCATTCGCTTTCTTTACTGCCTCTTATACGAATTACTTATTAACTCAACCAGATTATAAATTCCCCAATTTTATTTCCATCCCTCCCAAAGCTGTACCTGTCAAGTACATAATTGGTACTTAATTCTGTTTGAATGCAGTGGGTGAGAGAAAAAAATTAACAAGTGCTAGAAAAGTCATGATCTTTGGTGAGTGTGTGAGTAGAAGATTCATAGATGAATAGAAGTTTTAAAAGGTAGAAGGGCCCTTATAACTGATAGCCTAATTCACCAGCTTCCTTTTTAATATGAGAAACCTGAAGATCAGCAAGGTAGCTTAACTTGCCCAAGGTCACACAGCTAGTTGGAATACCTTTCAGGGATCTGAAGGGGCTCCACGAATCTTGTACCATGACCCATTTTCAAATTTGGTGTCCCACCTTTCTTATCTGAGATAATTTTTGTATCATCTAAAACAATAATTATGAGAATTACATACTGTTAAAATTATTATAAATATGTGTCATTATAATAATTATAACTTTGGTATAATAGAAAAACAGTAGATTTTACATAATCTAAAACAATATAGTTTCCACCCAAACTAGTCATTTCAGGGAAAAGAAATAAAAACAACACAAACGACAGTCAGCTGAATTTGCTCGTTTCATTTTCATGGACCTCAGACCACTGAGTCGGCAAAGACCTTGACCCCAGGCTCCTGTTTCTCTACCATTTCTCTAACTGGAAATAAACGAAACTTACTTCTCCAGGAACGCCACACAGGCGGTCTGCCCGTAGATCTGTGCGATCCTCTTTGGCGTGTCTCCAAAGAAGTCAGGGGCGTCGATGGCGGCGTGCAATGCATGGAGAACTTTGAGAACATTCACATGGCCTGACTCGGCTGCAAAATGAGCTGGGGTCCAGCCCACATCAGTTACCAGGCAGGGCCTGGCTCCATATTCTAGAAGGAGCTGCATCACCTCCATGTGCCCTTAGATGTACCAGGAAGAAACAGGAGGAGGTTAAGATTAAAATGTCTCTGCCTGACTAGGGCCAGACGTAGCCTGGATAGTATAAAAGAAGGGATGACACTTGCTTTGAGGCCCTTCCCGGTTTCCTAGCATCATCCCCTCCTCCGTCTCCTTCTCTTACCTGGGACTCAGCGCCCCGCCGTTACCTCAGAAACCTTGCTCCCACTAGAGTCCTGGGCTCTGGAAGTATTCCCTCTACTCCCTCCAGGGCCCTCCCTTCCCCTGTTCATTCCCACAAGCCCTTCCTAGGAATCTTGCTTTCCCTCCCAAGTCACCTATGCATGCTTATGAGGACACTGGTAAGGCTCACTCCGCTTTTGGCAGCCTCAGCGGTGATTCAAAAGCAAGTATTTTGCAACAACTTGGACGGAACTTGAGGGCATTATGCTAAGTGAAGTAAGTCAGAGAAAAAGAAATATCATAGGATCTCACTTATATGTGGAATCTAAAAAAACAAAAAGACAACCAAGGTCATAGGTACAGTGAAGAAACTGGTGGTTGCCAGAGGCAGGAGCTGAGGGGTTGGAGAAATGGGTAAAGGGGATTAAAGGGTACAAACATCAGTTATAAAAAAATAAGTCCTGGAAATGTAACATACAGCATGGTGACTATAGTTAATAATACTGTTTTGCATATTTGGTAGTTGTTGAGAGAATAGATCTTAAAAGTTATTGCAAGAAAACTTTTTGTAAAAAAAAAAAACTTTTGTAACTATATGTGGTGACAGATTTTAACTTCACTTACTGTGGTGGTCATTTCATAATATCAACAAAAATTTAATTATGTTGTATACCTGAAAGTGATATAATGATGTATATCAATTATACCTCAATAAAGAATATTTTAAGTCCCACTTAAGCCAGATTCAAAGCACAGGCTTTCAATCCAAAAGATGTGGGCTCATAGCTGCCAGTAAGTAACACTTGCTAACTGTGGAATCGCAGACAGGAAACAAAGGTCTGAGGCCCAGTTTCCTCATTTGTAAGTGAAAAATGTTATTACTTACCTCACTGAGTTCTTGTGAAGTACAAATGAAATCACAGACATAATGCATACAGCATGATGCCTAGCATACAGCAAACGTTCACTAGAAGGTGTTTTAGTATAGCTACCATCACTTTGTACTCAAATTTCTGCAAAATTCTCCCAACTGATTCTCTGCAACTAGTCTTGCTTCCTGCCAATCCATTCTCCATACAGAAATCCAAACAGTTTTTTTAAAAAGCAAGTTGACTATAATACTCTCTTCCTTAACGTTCTTCAATGGTGTTCTATTGCTGAAGGCCTTGACAAGCCCAATGGCTGAGTTTTTGCCACTACCCTCCTCCAATTTCATAACTGAGCCATGTGAGGGGTGGGGGATACAGCAGTGAACATGACAGAGTCCCTGTCCTACCTTTCCTGTTGGAGGTCAAGAGGGCAGAGCACTAGTATTAATTGAGAGCAAACTATGTGCTAGGCATGTACACCCATTATCTTAGCGAATCCTCACTGCAAGACTCCAAGATAATCACTGTTCCCACTATGTAGGTGAATAAATTAAGGCCTAGAGATATTAAATAACTTGCTTAAAGTGCTACAACCAGTAAGTGGTGGTGCCAGGGTTGACATGTTCCATTCGGCTCTCAAGAAATGTTCTTTCCACTACCACACACAGACTACTGACTGGTAACCTCATGAAAGGTGGACTCAAAGGGATGGATTTTACCCAGGCATTGCCCACTCACCTTTGATTGCAGCCCAGTGAAGTGGGGTTCGGTCATTCCAGTCCACATCCTTGTAGTTTGGGTCACAGAGACCTTTTTTCAAAATCTTTCTCACTAAATTGTAGTCTCCTGCAGCCACAGCTTGGTGGAGCTTTGTCATGTCCGACATTTTGGTCAATTCCATGACCAAAAAAAAAAAAAAAAAAAAACTATGGGAAAAACATACCGCTTAGGAAATTCTCTACAATTCTTTATTCCATAGGAATAAAGTGATCCCATAGGATTCCTTATCATTTACTTTCTTTCTTACCTCACAAATTCGTATGTGTGTGTTCTGCTGAGGGTGTATTTGGATTTCAGCCACTGAGATTAGTTTATGCCAGTCCCCTACTGAAGAACTATCAATGGCTCCCCTCTGCCCCCAGGAATATAGGATGAACTCATGGTTTGGGGTTTTCTATTTGGCCTCAAACTACTTTTCAGTGCTATTCCCTACTCCTATTCCAAACTGTGTGATTCTGAATTAGTTGTGCAATTCTGTGCCTTACCTTTCTCATCCATAGCATGGGTATAATTTGTCAAAGTTGTTGTGAGGATACAAGGACAATCCATGTGAAAAATTTACTGACTGGACACAAAGCAGGCACTCCATAGAAATTTAATACTATTGGCACACCAATTCAGATGGACAAGATGTAAACATGCAAATAAAATGCTTACAAGTTGTTTTACAGCATTAAGACATAAATTGACAATTCTTAAACTATAGTTTACAGATGCTTAGGAATCCTGATTCTTTCAGGGGATCCATGAGATCAAAACTATTTTCATCTTAATATTAAAATGTCATTGGCCTTGTTCACTGTGCTGACATTTGTCCTGATGGTTCAAAAGCAACAATGTAGAAAGCAGCTGGTACCTTAGCACAAAGCAAGGCAGTGGCAGTGACACCGAACTAGATTAGCAGTCATGGTATTCTTCACCAGCACACGCAGAGTCAAAAAGAAAGAAAGAAAGAAAGAAAGAAAGAAAGAAAGAAAGAAAGAAAGAAAGAAAGAAAGAAAGAAAGAAAGAAAGAAGGAAAGAAGGAAAGAGAAAGAAAGAAAGAAAGAAAGAAAGAAAGAAAGAAAGAAAGAAGAAAGAAAGAAAAAGAAAGAAAGAAAAAAGCTAGTTTCAATAAGGAAACTAAAGTAGTAAGAGTTCTTTTTATAAATGTTGACCTTTGACTACATGACTTCATAAAAAATGATTTTAAAATATTGTATAACAAAATGTGTCAACATTTGGAAAGTCTGCATAACTCCGTGAACAAATGACAAGCGTATGATGTTACAAAATCATGCATGGGTAAAGAGACTCATTCAGGATAGGACAATGGATTTTAGTGAGACACAGTATGAAAAGTACAATGAGATTGTTTTAGATTCCAACTTACTTGTAAAGCGCTACCACCTGTCCAGTTTTGGTGTAGTATTAAAGACAAATATCCACAGTTATCTGAAAAGGTTATAAAATACTCTTCCCTTTTCCAATTTTATATATGTGAAGGACCAGATTTTCTTTCTATATTTCTTTCTTTTAAAGATTTTATTCATTTATTTGACAGAGAGAGAGAGAGAGAATAAGCAGGGGGAGCCCCAGACAGAGGGAGAAGGAGAAGCAGGCACCCCGCTGAGCAGGGAGCCAGACATGGGGCTCCACCCGGAACTCTGGGATCATGACCTGAGCCAAAGGCAGATCCTTAAAAGACTGAGCCACCCAGATGCTCCTTCCTTCTATATTTCAACCAAAACAACAAACTGAATGCCAAAGAGCTAAGAATACATCTGTCTTCTATTAAGTCACATAGTAAAGAGATTCAACTACATAAAAAATAAATAAGCTGTTCTCACTTCTTTTGCTTTAGAAAATGTAATTATTTTTCATAAAAATATCACTAATGTTATTGTATATTAGGCTTACTATGATTTTTGTATATGATTTAATAAACATTTAAATTTTTTCTCAGTTTTAATTTCTAATAAGGTAAATATTGATAGCTATAATCCATATAAACAAAAGCTCTCTGGGGTTCTCAGTAATTTTTAAGAGTGTAAAGGAGTCCTGAGACCAACAAGTTTGAGAATTACTGATATAAACAAATAAGGGGTTGGGACAGAAGAAAAGAATGAGGAGAGAGCCACTTGAGGTGGGGCTAGTGGGAATGTCTCTTTGATCCCAACATTTAAGTTGAGATCTCAAGAAGAGTTTGGAGTCAGCCAGACACGCTGTGGCCCAGCAGCGGCATCACCTAGGAATTTATTAGAACTGTGAATTATTGAGCCTCATATCAGACCAACTAATGTACACTGAAATACAAGGATAGCCCTAGAATGGGAGAGAAGTACATAACACAATTAACATGCAATCTCCTAAGCATTATGATGGCGGTGATTTTCTGGGGATAGAGGGAAAGGACCATTCCCCAGGACTAGGAAGTAAAAGGCACTTTTTTCTGAAAGTGACCTAAGCTGGTTCCCGAAGGGATGAGTAAGAGTCATCTTGGGCCCTGGCAGTGATGGAAGATCAACTCAGGCACAGCGCATGGGTGGGGGAGGCACATTCTGCAAAGGGCAAGTGGCTCCAACTTTGGTATACAGACCAAGGATCCACAAATATTTCCTGTAAAGGGCTGGGTACAAAATTTTTTTAGCCTCTGTAGGCCAAGAGGCAAAAATCAAGACTATGATGTAACATTACATAACTATTATGTAACAAGAGAAAATCTCCAGCCAGGGATGGGCCATCCTGGGGGAGGAAGGGGTGGTGGAGGTGGGTGAGCATGCTTTGTGCTCAGTAGCCCTCAGCTGGTGACAATCTCAGGGGGAAGAGTAACCAGCCCGAGGGGGAGGGGTCTGGCTGGTAGGATGGTTACTTTCCTTCTATCCCACGGATGCCCAGATCCCAGCATGCCCTCTCTCCTTTCCAAGAGCCCAACCATTTCAAGTTGAAAGCTGATGGGAGGCAAGGTGACTTGACTGAACTAATTCTATTGCTCAGTGCCCAGAAACTGCTGACAGCAGAGTTCCCAAAGTGTAGGTGGTGACCAGCAAGGCCCTGGGCAGAGGCCAGGCACAGCTGTGGGCTCAGGAGACAGACTAGGAGCAGACTTGGGAGCAGTTGGCTTCCCAAAGCTCACAGGCTTGCCCACTAAGCGCTACCATCATAGGCGGTGACCATGGGCCCGAAAAAATGGAGTGAGCTACACTTGGCCTGTAGACCATAGTTTACCAACCTCTGGTCCATATAAAGTATCTGGGATGTAGGTAAAATGCAGATTCTGGTCTAAGATGAGGCCTGAGGTCCTGCATTTGTAGCAAGTCCCCACAACAACTACTAGTTCATAGCCCACACTGAGTAGCCTTTGCTCGCTGGCTCTAAGGGAGGGGGGAGACCTGAGGTAAGGGAGAGGCATTAAGGATGTTGCTGCTGTTCTTTCCTGACGGACTACATGAGAATTACTGGTGGGTTTTAAAAATTAGAGGCCTGGGCGCCTGGGTGGCTCAGTTGGTTGAGCAACTGCCTTCGGCTCAGGTCATGATCCTGGAGTCCCGGGATCAAGTCCCGCATCGGGCTGCCTGCTCAGCAGGGAGTCTGCTTCTCCCTCTGACCCTCATGCTCTCTCTCTCTGTCTCATTCTTTCTCTCAAATAAATAAATAAAATCTTTAAAAAATAAAATAAAATAAAATAAAAAAATAGAGGCCTGGGCCTCAGCCTGCAGTGCTTCAGGAATCATTAGCTGTGTCGGACAAGAACATGCCTTTTAGCACGAAGCGAGCACCCAGTCCATGCTAGGTAACGGAAGATGGCATAGGATACGCTTTAACTTTTTGGCTTATTTGTTTTAGTAAAAAACCCTTACACTGGAGCACTGGATCAATGATAACATAAAATAGTAAACAGAAGTACTAGTGGATTTCTAACCTGCAGCTATCACAAAAAGCCAAACCAGTTTTAGAATCAGTGTCTTGAACCCTCTGCTTGCCTTTCACACAAACCTGTAAGCAGGTTTATGCTTAAATCACCCCCATTTGTTTCACACTTGAGTTCATACCAAAGAAATCCCACAACTTCACACAGATAAGTTGTAATTCAAGTAGAAGTTTCCAATGAGCTGCTTAATTTATTTGCAGAGGAATTGATGAAGTGATCCTAAAAACTCATATGGAAATAAATGCAAGGGATTCAGAAGAATCAAAACAACCTTGCAAAAGAATGAAGTAGGAGGACTCAAACTTCCTGATTTCTAAACTTACTTCAAAGCTACAGTAATCAACGTGTGATATGAATGAAGTACACTGTGCAGCATAAAATGTGGCATCAAGATAGATATATAGAGCGAAATGGGATAGAATCGAGAGTCCAGAAATAAATGTTTACATTTATGGTCAACTGGTTTTCAATAAAGGTGCCAGGAAAATTCAATGAGGAATAAATAATCTTTCCAAATGGTACTGACACAATTAGATATTGCACAAGAATGAAGTCAATCCTTTCCCTCACGTCATATACAAAACTTAAGATAGATTACAGATCTAGGGGCACCTGGGTGGCTCAGTTGTTTGAGCGTTCGACTCTTGGTTTCAGCTCAGGTCGTGATCTCAGGGTCCTGGGATCGAGCCCTGCATTGGGCTCCGCTCTCAGTGTGGTCTGCCTGTCCCTCTCCCTCTGCTCCTTCCCTCTCTTGTGCTCTCTCTCTCCCTCTGTCTCAAATAAATAAATAAATAAATAAATAAATAAATAAATAAATTCTTTTAAAAAATGGATTATAGACCTAAATATAAGAACTTAAACTAAAATTCTTAGAAGAAAACAGAGGAGTAAATCTTCAACACATTGAGTTAGGCAGTGGTCCATAGATATAACAACAAAAGCATAAGCCACAAAAGAAAAAATAAATAAACAAGCTGGATTTCACCAAAATTAAAAAAAAAATTTTTTTAAGATTTTATTTATTTTTTGACAGAGAGAGAAAGACAGCGAGAGAGGAAACACAAGCAGGGGGAGTGGGAGAAGGAGAAGCAGGCTTCCCGCTGAGCAGGGAGCCCGATGCCCAGCTTGATCCCAGGATCATGACCTGAGCCGAAGGCAGATGCCCAACGACTGAACCACCCAGCCGTCCCCAAATTTTTTTCTGTAAACAATACCTTTAAAAAAGTATAAAAGCAACTACAGGATGGGAGAAGATATTTGCAAATTATATATCTGATAAGAGACTTGCATCCAGAATATATACAGAACTCTTACAATTCAACAATAAGACAATAGCTCAATTAAAAATGGTCAAGGAATATAAACAGAAGTTTCTTCAAAATAATACGCTCATGAAAATACGCCCAAAATAATAAGCACATGAAAAGATTCTCAACTTCATTAGTCATGAAGGAAATGCAAATGAAAACAACACTGACACACTGCTCACACCCTCTAGGATAACTGTAATCAAAAAGACAGACATTATGAGTGTCGGTGAGGATGCAGAGAAGGCGAAACCCTCATACATGTGGTGGGAATGTAAAACGGTGCCACTGCTTTGGTAGTCCTTCAAAAAGTTAAACATAGAGTTTTCATATGACCTGTAACTCCGCACTTAGGTATATACCTAAAAGAAATGAAAATATATGTCTACACAAAAACATGTACACAAATGTTTACAAGCAGCATGATTTATAATAACCAAAAAGTGGAAACAACCTAAATGTCCATTAGTGGATGAATGCACGAATAAAGTGTGGGAGCTCACACATATAATATTGTTTGACACTAAGAAAGGAATAAAGTTTGACCCCTGCTACAACATGGATGAACTCTGGAAACATGCTAAATGAAAGAAGCCAGGCACAAGAGACCACATATAGTATGATTCCATTCATGTGAAATGTCCAGAATAGGCAAATCCATACAGATAGAGAGTAGATTATAGGTTGCCTAGAACTGGGGTGAGGTGGGGGTGGGAAATGACTCCTAGTGAGTATAGGATTTCTTTGCCGGGTGCTCGCTTTGGCAGCACATATATTAAAAATAGGATTTCTTTAGGGGGTGAGGAAATGTTCTAAAATTAGACAGTGGAGAGTGATGCTTTCATAACTTTGAATATATTAAAAGTCACTGAATTATGTACATAAATAAATGAATTTTATGGCATGTGGATTATATCTCATTAAAGCTGTTTAAAAAATGGTACTATTAATTAGAGGTTTTCTTTAAAAAATTATTTGTAGAAAACACACCCAGTTCACTAGCCTACAACTGACTACTGAAATTTAGCAAATTCTCCTTCACATAAATCTTTGCAAATTTGATTAAGTACGCCTGAATGTCCATCTTTCTGGTGCAGGGCTCTAAATGTAAAAAAGTAGTCAGCAGATACAAGTTCTAATAAATGTGTATGATCTATAACAGCTAGTAAACATCTGAAGGCAGGAGTAATGTAAAAATACTTACTCTCTTGTTTGAAATCTGAGGCTCTCAGCACTGGCAGGCGTCCTAGGGGCCAAAGATTTGTTGTGTTCTTGCCATGGAAACTGGCCCCTCCTTCCTCGTTAAAGCTTGCCAATCAACATCAGCTTCCGGACGGGGTGCCCGCTCCTGGAGAAGGGCCTGCCTCTCTGCCTGCACCCAAGCTGGCCAACATTCTGGTCAGCTTCTCTGGTGCTTGACAGCTTCTCTTCAAATAGCGTTTGATCGAAATGCATGAAAATTGAAAGAAAAAAAAAAAGATTGCCCGTCCACAGGGCACCGTGAGGGAGATAAGCTCCCTGGGGACCACGATGGGGTGGTGGAGACAACAGGGCCCCGCACTCTCAAAACCAGCTGTGAGATCTTGGGCAAGGCGCTTAACTTTGCTGAAACTCTTACTTTTCACCAATAAAATGAAGTTTTAACTCTTTTCTCATAAGGCAATGAAAGGTGAATAGCTGAAATAATTTATAAAGCACCAGCAACAGCGGTGCGGAAGAAGAGGAGGGAGGGAGAAAATCTTCAGGTCATTTCTCCTTGCCTCCTCTCTGGGATTCCTTACTCTAGCATCTGCTATCTTTATGAGGATGCTGCTCTAAAAGGACTTCTTCTGGCCTTCCTCCTGCCTCTCTCCCTCCCTCCTTCCTTCCTTCCTTCCTTCTCCTCTCCCCTCTCCTTTTCCTCTTCCTCTTCCTCCTCCTTGGGCTCCTTCTCCTCCTTCTCCTCCTCTTCCTCCTCCGGCTCCTTCTCCTCCTTCTCCTCCTTCTGCTCCTTCTCCTCCTTCTCCTCCTTCTGCTCCTTCTCCTCCTTCTCCTTCTGCTCCTTCTCCTCCTTCTGCTCCTTCTGCTCCTTCCCCTCCTTCTCCTCCTTCTCCTCCTTCCGCTCCTTCTCCTCCTTCCGCTCCTTCTCCTCCTTCTGCTCCTTCTCCTCCTTCTCCTCCTTCTGCTCCTTCTCCTCCTTCTCCTCCTTCTGCTCCTTCTCCTCCTTCTGCTCCTTCTTCTCCTTCTCCTCCTTCTCCTCCTTCTGCTCCTTCTCCTCCTTCTCCTCCTTCTTCTCCTTCTCCTCCTTCTCCTCCTTCTGTTCCTTCTCCTCCTTCTGCTCCTTCTGCTCCTTCTCCTCCTTCTGCTCCTTCTGCTCCTTCTCCTCCTTCTGCTCCTTCTGCTCCTTCTCCTCCTTCTCCTCCTTCTGCTCCTTCTCCTCCTTCTGCTCCTTCTGCTCCT